GGTTGGGTGTTTTTTGCTTCTTCGTATTTCAAATCTTTGACTTGATTCTTGGGATCCTCTGGTCTGCTGTTGGGTCTCTGTATAATATTTTTTATTTCAGTCAGTGTATGCTTAATTTCTAGTTGGTCCTTTTTCATATCCTCGAGTGTCTCACTAAATTTTTCGGCGGTTTCTAAAAAATTCTTGGAAAACCTTAGAAACGTGGTTTTGAACTCTATATGCAGTAGTTTTCTTTCCTCCATTTCTGTCATTTGTGACCTGTTTCTTTGTTTTCGCATTTTGGCTGCTTCCCTGTGTTGATAGAGTGGCTTTGTGTGCTAGGTGTCCTATAGGGCCCAGTGGCTCAGCCTCCCCAATTACCTGATTGTATTTTTGAAGTGGTTGTGAAGTGATTTTGAAGCAATTTCCGGTGTTTACCTATGCCGCCATCTTGGTTTCTCCAGTTTCTGGGTGGTTTTTTAAAAAAAATACATTTTTATTGATTTCAGAGAGGAAGGGAGAGGGATAGAAACATCAATGATGAGAGAGAATCATTGATGGACTGCCTCCTGCATGCCCCATACTGGGGATCAAGCCTGCAACCCTGGCATGTGCCCTGACCGGGAATTGAATCATGACTGCCTGGTTCATAGGTCAATGCTCAACCACTGAGCCATGCCAGCCAGGCTAGGTGGGTTATTTTTAAGTTTTATTTTTACAAATAACAATGTATCCTTGCATACCTGGGACAAAACTATCTTGGTTAAGGTGTATTATCTTATTTTTAATACATTGATGGATTTGATTTAAATGGATATACATAGAATATGTGCTATGTTTATTCAGTAGCTAACTTATCCTTAGGAATATCACAGCATCCCTTGGGAGATACAAGCACCCTGGTTTGGACTTGTTCAAACTGTCCTAGCATAGCCATAGAGAAGGTTATTTCTGATTGATATTCATATCTTTGGCCTAGATGTGGTAGTGGAAGAAAACATAAAGGTAAGAAATGACAGTAGTTTGGTTTTTCAGGCACTGTTGGATAAGAAGAATAAGGTTCCTGAACCAAAGAAACCTCTGCTCTTTCTTCAAAGAAAGTCAATACCTCAACCTCGGCTTCCAACTCCAACCTTGGAAATGACTTCCACTGTAAGTTTGAAACTTTTCTATTTAAAATTCAAAATTTAGCATTGCTGTCCATTTATTCTTAGGATAGTTTGAGTTAAAAACAAGCCTAATTTAACAGTGTTAATTTATGTTGCCTTTATTCTTATTTTAAAACATTGAATACACAATCACAAAAACAAAATGAGATGAAATGAAATCTAATCCTTTTTAAAAAAATATATATTTTATTGATTTTTTACAGAGAGGAAGGGAGAGAGATAGAGAGTTAGAAATATTGATGAGAGAAAAATATCGATTAGCTGCCTCCTGCACATCTCCTACTGGGGATGTGCCCGCAACCCAGGTACATGCCCCTGACCGGAATCGAACCCTGGACCGAGAGAATCATTGATGGACTGCCTCCTGCACGCCCCATACTGGGGTTCAAGCCTGCAACCCTGGCATGTTCCCTGACTGGGAATTGAATCATGACTGCCTGGTTCATAGGTCAATGCTCAACCACTGAGCCATGCCAGCCATGCCAGGTGGGTTATTTTTAAGTTTTATTTTTACAAATAATAATGTATCCTTGCATACCTGGGGCAAAACTATCTTGGTCAAGGTGTATTATCTTATTTTTAATACATTGATGGATTTGATTTAAATGGATATACATAGAATATGTGCTATGTTTATTCAGTAGCTAACTTATCCTTAGGAATATCACAGCATCCCTTGGGAGATACAAGCACCCTGGTTTGGACTTGTTCAAACTGTCCTAGCATAGCCATAGAGAAGGTTATTTCTGATTGATATTCATATCTTTGGCCTAGATGTGGTAGTGGAAGAAAACATAAAGGTAAGAAATGACAGTAGTTTGGTTTTTCAGGCACTGTTGGATAAGAAGAATAAGGTTCCTGAACCAAAGAAACCTCTGCTCTTTCTTCAAAGAAAGTCAATACCTCAACCTCGGCTTCCAACTCCAACCTTGGAAATGACTTCCACTGTAAGTTTGAAACTTTTCTATTTAAAATTCAAAATTTAGCATTGCTGTCCATTTATTCTTAGGATAGTTTGAGTTAAAAACAAGCCTAATTTAACAGTGTTAATTTATGTTGCCTTTATTCTTATATTCAAACATCGAACACACAATCACAAAAACAAGTAAAATGAGATGAAATGAAATCTAATCCTTTAAAAAAATAAAACACAAAGAATAAAAAGTTTTCCCAAGAAAAGTAGGCATCAGAAGGTAATCCTCATGTGTGTCAAATAAAACAAAAAAGGATTGAATGATGATCAGTTACTATAATTATCTGCCCAATGGAGAGGTGGCTGATGACAGAGAAGAATGAAATGTTAGAAAGTCGCGAGGAAGGCTGACTTCTGAGGTAGGACTGGCTCAACGGGTCATACCTCACCTTCACAGATCCCAAACTCAGTTTGAGCGCAAGGTACCTGAGCTGGCTAAGGCTGACCCAGTCTAAACAAACCCACAACAAACTGCTAGAGATGCCAGAATGCAAATGTATTACTTTATGGGGAGAAATAAAACTGCCTGGTGCATCAGGATGTTCCTCATGGTAGGTCAGTCCATTATCTCCCCATAGAGGACAATTCTCACAAGAAGCCAGATTGTATTCAGGAGGTTGTGCTTTGTCAAAGGGAGGGCAGTGGACAGATCAGCTCCCTCGCACAGTGATGGCGAACCTATGACACGCGAACTCATTTTTTTGGTTGATTTTTCTTTGTTAAATGGCATTTAAAATAAAATAAATATCAAAAATATAAGTCTTTGTTTTACTATGGTTGCAAATATAAAAACATTTCTATATGTGACACGACACCAGAGTTAAGTTAGGGTTTTTCAAAATGCTGACACGTCGAGCTAAAAAGGTTCGCCATCACTGCCCTAGCACCTCTAATGGGCCAACTGTGGAGGGACTGGAATGCTCCCATTGCCTGGCTAGGACGTGGTCTGGACAATACCCCCATTTTAGACCTTGTGCCACCACTGCCGGTGGTTAACACATTATCTATCACGTGTTAATGCCATTGATTTTACTGTCGCTTTCTTTTGCATTCACGGGTTCCTTAATTAGATTTGCCCAATCTGCTTTTTCTGTTGTTGGTGGGGTTTTTTTATAAATGTATTTATTGATTTTAGTGAGAGAGGAAAGGAGAGGGATAGAGAGATAGAAACATCGATAAGAGAGAGACATCGATCTGCTGCCTCCTGCACGCCCCCTACCAGGGATCAAGCCTGCAACCCAGGCATATGCCCTGACTGGGAATCGAACCAGGGACTTCTAGGTTGATGGGTAGATGTTCAACCACTGAGCAGCACCAGCCGGGCTGCTCTTTCTGCTTTTGACACATAGTTATTAAAGATGATTTTTATAAATGGCTGATCTTGTCTACTATATTCTGATTTTACCAGCTTTGCTAAATTTTTGTGAGAAGTACCTCCCTCTAGACCAGAGGTTCTCAACCTGTGGGTCGCGACCCCTTTGACGGTCGAACGACCCTTTCACAGGGGTCGCCTAAGACCATCTTGCATATCAGGTATTTACATTACGATTCATAACAGTAGCAACATTACAGTTATGAAGTAGCAACGAAAATAATTTTATGGTTGGGTCACAACATGAGGAACTGTATTTAAAGGGCCAGAAGGTTGAGAACCACTGGTCTAGACTCTGACCTAGATTAGCTGTATCCTTTGTCTCCTCACGATCAAACATGAAAAAACTATTGCAAAAAGGATGCTGTAAATAATACTTTCAGCTTCAAGAATGATTTTGCTGGAAAGAAATATAGAAAAATGAAAATTGCTTAAATTATAGGTATAGTATGACAGTGAGTGATTTGTTTTACTTTTTATATGATTTGTTAATGATATTTATGATGAAAGATAATAATGAAGTTTAATAATACAGTAAGTAACATTTAAAAAATACTATATATTCAATGAAGGTAGAGACCATTTTTTATTTCTATGTAAATCCTTCTGGCACAGTCTCTTTTGCTTGATCTAATTCTTTAAAAAATTATTTGATACTGACTGCTGTTCTCAAGCTGCTTGGTTCTCCCTTTGTTCTTTTAGGAAGAAGAAGATAAAGAAAAGGCTGTTATCTTCCTTCAAAAGTTACTCCGCGGCAGAGTCGTTCAGAATGTGGTGTGTAGGGTCCAACCGCTGGCCATGTGCTTCTCCTCTGAAAATGGATTCACAGAATGTGCATGTGCTCCGTTCCTTGGGACGAATTCACCTCTGTCCTATGGAACTACACTCTTTCTTTTTTCCCCTGTGTGTGTGTGTGTGTGTTTTTTTTACTTTATTTTTATTGTTTACACTATTACAGATGTCCTCATTCTCCTCCTTCTTTGCCCACCTTCCCTCTGGCCATCACCACACTGTTGTCTATGGGTTATGCATATATGTTCTTTGGAACTCTACTCTTGAATTACCTACCCATTCCCTTCTACTGCCATAGATTGTCCAGATGGGCGACACAGTGTCAGGGAGAGGAATAACCTGCCTGCTGTTTGCTACAGTTGTAGCCAAGACAGTGTGAAAGTAATGTCTTCCTGGAATTGCTAAATCCGGCAATTTTCTTACCTGAATTTTGATCATTAAAATATCGCCGAACAAGTGGATTCCCTAATTTTCCACAAAGTCATAATGCAACTATTTGAGCTGTACTTAGCTGGCAATACCTGAATAATAAATGAAATAACTAAATAATAACTACAGTTTGAACCCCTACTCAATGCCCACATTATACATTTTTTATTCTACATATATCTTCTAATTTTTTTCCCTACCACTTACCCTATATTATAGGCAAGTAATGTAAGTCTGAGAGAGAGTATGTTAATTACCAGCAAATTCAACTCTGGTCTTCCTGCCCGTGAAGCCTTAGATTATTTCTACTGCCAGAGCAAACACTCAGTTTAAAAAGTGGACTGATATAAAGCCCCAGCTAAAAGTTATTTCTCCCCAGACAGTTATAACTCCTAAAAGACTCAGTTATGAAGAGCAAGTCCAGGGAAGCCGGGTGAGCATTTTGTGTTCAGCATTATTCTTTACTCTCCTTTTGGTATTTCCCAGGAGAATTGCCTCAGTTCAGACAGCACATTGTGTATTACAAACCAGGGGCAGATCTATAGGAAAAGAAAATATAGCCATGAAATATACCATCCCCAGCTTTCTTAGGGAAGAAGGAGCACAGGAAATGAGGGGAAGTTCAAGTTTCTTAATATGACCCTGTAGCGGTCCCCTTGCCTTTGAAAGGCATTTTAAGAAACCGTGCAAACAGCTAACTGGTAGCTAAGCTCCCTTCTTCTCTGCCTGAGCTGCCGGGGGTGTAGTAAGAGGGCTGACCTCGCTCTGTGGGACACACTGGCTCTGTAGTTCCAACAGGCGGAGCAGAACCCTCTCTTCACTGCTTGGGAGCCCGAGGGCCTGACATAAGGGATGCTAATTTGCACGTCTCTCTTTGATTTGATTTGATACAGATGTTTGAAGGGAAAGAAAAGCGACTGGAGTTGATCCAGGAGCTGCGCGCCACCCACGTGCTACAAGAAGATGACAGGCTGGTGAGGAAAACCGAGAAGCAAGTGACACTGGCCCTCCAGCGGCAGAGGAACTTGCATGAACACAAGGTTCTTTCCCTTTCTTTCTTGTTCCATTCTAGTCACATTTTCTCCCTTGATTTTTACTATTGTGTGAGCAACATTATAATAACAATAATGAATTGATGAAAAAGAAACATCCCCCACAATGCCATCACTCTGTCACAGTCAGCATTTTTAAACTATGCTGCTACCGTCTATAATTAGAATGGGAATTGAATATGGTCTTATATTCCTTATTTGCAAAAAGAAGAAAAAAGAAACCTACATTTTAAAAGGTTTTCCCTTTCAATTTTTCTTAAACATTTGATGACTGTACTATATTTCAGTTAGTGGGAGCTTAGCAGAATGAATAGTAATAAAAGCAATAAGAAAAAAAGTGAGAAATGAGATTTATTTGTAAATATCAGCACTTATTTTGAGCTTTGGAGCTGTACCTAAGTCATGCTGGTTAAAACGCATGCTAAATATGTTAATATCTCATGCTATTCTGTGACATTCATCATGACCTCTGCGTTCTGCTGACCTGACAACAGCTGGTAATAGCAGCTCTCACCCAACAAGGGTACATGTCTCCCTGTTCTCTTCTGTGTTCCTCTCTGTAAGCACCGTCTCTAATGCTATTGACTACCATGTAGATGCACCTTTCTGCTTCTCCCGCTAACCTGTTAATCGGTGTGGAAAACGATCTGTTTGCACAGTGTTTGGTGTTGTAAGAAAGTGAACTTACAGCAGAGCCACTATGACCCACCTTTAATCACACACATAACTCTTGTGCCGTGTGGACTTGGGCTCAAACGTTAACCAGCTTGGAAATGTGGACAACTCTACTCCTTTCACATGACAGCAGGGCTGGATGGCCACTGCGTTTGGGGGAGCTCGTGCAGGGGAGAGGGGAAGAAAGCCACAGGCTGTGGGACTCAACAGAAGGACCAGAGGAAGAAGAAGAAAGTCTCTGAATCTGAGAGGCCTGGGAATGACGGAGACAGGGCTGCACTTATCTGTTCAGATAGAGAGCAAATGCCCCGAAAGTGCCAGGTCCCAGGACCTGGGTGGGAAAATGCCCTCTTTGCCCCTGGAGGTTTCTGATTGAAGACTTTGGCACATACACCTAAGCCAATCCAGGCTTTTCAACTCTGTCCCATTTAGCGGACATACTAGTCCTGACTGATGTCATGTCAGCTAAGAGCTAAGGGAGGAGGTAGTGGGAAGAGCTATCACGCAGTCAAGGACTCACCCTGCTTACCTTCCACTATACTAAGCACACTAGTGATGTGCAGGGGTCAGATGGAGCGGGCATTTCATGGGTGCCTACAGCAGTGCTGACCCTCTCCTGTTTTCCTCTTACATTTTTTGTGGAAAACAGTCCAGAAAATGCACAGCTGCCAATTACACGATATGACTGCAATGGAATCACCTTGCTAATTTTTTTTTTATTTAATCTTCAAATTAAAATTTCTACCTGAGCATACCTTTCTTGTTGAGGGAGAAGATTAGACATGAACAGGATTTAAAAATCTCAGGATTTTAAAGGTTGCCTCCCTCCCACCCCCCAAAACACACACACACACACACACACACACACACACACACACACACAAGTGAGGGAACTGTGATCCCTGGAGATGAGGAGGAAATCTGTTTGTGATCTCTGGGCTGAATGGCCGCCGTTTACAGATGTTAGGAGTAGTGAGACTCTTGCCCTTTCTTTCCACCTCTCCTATTGTGTAAGTAAAGCTGGGCATTGTGGTTAGAAGGTAGGTATGGGCTGGGCAGTAGGTAAGGATGAGGATGAGTGTGTTGGACTAACAACTACGCTTGATTGACAGTCTCACCCAGTAGCCACACCACCTTGGAGACCTGTGCGGATTTCCTCCCTTCAAATAGAGCCAGAGGGGAACTGAGCACAGAGGCCGACTGTCAATATTAAAGTAACATGTGCCTGGGCGGAGAGCTCTTCCTCTTATACTTGAAAATGGAAGAGGCAACAGGTGGGAGTGGCAAAGGATACAGTCCTTTGAATGCCTTTGTTCTCCATGTGTCAAGGCCAGGACAGATAGACACTGTGGCTTATTCCTGGCCAAGAACTCCTGGCCTTTATTTTACCTTAAGGATCATATAGACATGTATTTTTCCTGCTCTATTTCAAAGATAGTTGTTAATGACTTTGAAGTTATGGTTTTCTACTTTCATGTTATTCAAGATCTTAAAATTCCCCCAAACTTATGTTAAAGGATGAGGCATTAAGAAATTAAAAAGGTATCATTAGTGAATTTCTAGGAGATTCTATTTTATTAAACTCCATTGCTATCTTTAATAAAAACCCTTGACATTTCTCTTTCTGTCTTGGAAGACATAGCACTTTATTTGGCTAAAATTGAGCCTGGCTGGAATGGCTTAGTGGTTGAGCATCGACCTATGAACCAGGATTCTCGGTCAGAGCACATGCCTGGGTTGTAGGCTTGATCCTCAGTTTGGGGTGTGCCAGAGGCAGCCGATCAACGATTCTCTCTCATCATTGATGTTTCTGTCTCTCTCTCCTTCTCCCTTCCTCTCTGAAATCAATAAAAAAATATTTTTTTTAAAATTGAAATTTAGCTCTTTTTTTGTTATTGTTAATCTTCACCCAAGCATATATTTCCATTAATTTTTAGAGAGAGTGAAAGAGAGGGGGAGAGACACAGAGAGAGAAACATTGAAGTGAGAGAGACACATTGATTGATTGCCTCCTCATGCCCTGACCAGGATCGGGGCTCGAGCCTGCAACCCAGGTATGTGCCCTTGACTGGAATCAAACCTGCGATTCTTCAGTCCCTGGGTCAACACTCTATCCACTGAGCCAAACTGACTAGTGCTAAACTTGAAATTTTTAAAAAAAATGCATTCTGTGTAGACACTAACAGAATTCTTTGCTAAATCCTCTTTATAACTTGAGGACTATAAGCCTTCAGTGACTGATGGAGCAATCTACTTTCTCATGTCTAAGATTGTATCATAAGTTTTCCTAGTGACAGAACCCTCAAATGGGGCCAATCTAGAGATAATATTCCTAATAAAAACCAAGTGCAGTCTGAAAATAAAGTGACTGTCAATGGTTCTGGGTAACCCAGCATTTCTCCTTATAAATCCCCATTTTTAGCGGAATTTGTATCCTTAAGATTACATTATTTTTAAGGTGTCACTAGTTGAAAACCATCTGAATGGACTGGAAGGAAGGGTGCTGGCAGACATGTTCGACTTCCTGTCCAAAGAGCTGGTGAGACTCCAGGAAGAGAGGAGAATCCATGCCTTTGCCATGCTGGCTGAACGACAGCGGAGGATGCGGGAAGCCGAGGAGAGTGGTCGGCGACAGGTGGAACAGAGGCGCCTGCGGGAGGAGGACGAGATATTTAAGGAGGCAAGTGAGGGCAGCGGGATATCTGGAAGCTGTTTGTAAGGAGCAGAGTCAAACCAAAGGAAACTGAAGAAATGAAATGCATTTTTTTTTTGTATTTTTCATTGTATTCAACAACTATATATTGAGATCCTACACAGACACACATTTAGCCACCTATTTCCTTATTAACTCATGCACATACAAGCACATGTGTCCAGAACCTTACACATTTATAAAGATGTACAGAAACACACAAGTATATGTGTTACTACAGGTGGAACACAGTAAACTTCCCAACCATGGACTATTATAAAACTCAGCTAATTGTTCCGTAGGTTCAACTTGATTCCCAGTAAGACTCTGGGCTCCCTAGAGCAGGCATGTTGTACATCCCATGGTGCCTTCCATCCCACCAGAATAGATCTGTGTCTACTGTGCACAGTAGACATTGGGCAAATATATTTTGACTAGAGGCCTGTTGCATAAAATTCATGCAAGAGTAGGCCTTCCTTCCCCCGGCTGCCGGCAGGCATCTGGGATCTGGGCTTCCCTTGCAGCCCCAGCTTTGTCTGGAAGGTCATCTGGAAGGATGTTTGGTCTAATTAGCATATTACACTTTTATTGAGGCCTGATGCACGAAATTCGTGCAAGAGTAGGCCTTCCTTCCCCCAGCTGCCAGTACTGGCTTCCCTCCGGCCACCAGCGGGCACCCGGGACCGAGGCTTCTCTCCCAGCCCCTGCTTCGTCCTGAAGGTCTTCTGGAAGGATGTCCAGAAGGATGTCCAGTTTAATTAGCATATTACCTTTTATTATTATAGATTGGTTGGTTGCTTGGTTGACACTGAATTAAGCTGGTCATTGGGGTCTCTCGCAGGGAAGATACAGGGATTCAAAGTTATGGATTTGGTGTTTTACAGGTAGATATAGTGCCAGTCAAGAAACGTGCTGAGGTATTACTGAGTCCCAAGATACACAGAAATATCCAGACATGAAATAAAAAAGTACCCTTCTCCCAAGAAACTGAAAATCTGTTGAGATAGAATGCGTACAAAACTAAGGATGCTACACGTGATGCTTCCTGTGTATCTACCTGTAAAACAGGCAAAACTAAACTATTACTATGGTTCCTACTTAGGGAGTAAAGCTTTAAGAAAAGGAAAACGTTTGCTGTAAAATTGTGAGAGGGGAAGGGAATTGTGGTCAGGAAGAACCCACGGCAGTCTTCTGGGATACTGGCAGTGGCTGCTGGCTTTCCTCTGATTCGTGACATCGTACATTCATGCACTCTGCACTTTTCTGCATGTGTATTCTATTTCACAGTTTGAAGAAAGCTGTAAAAAGAAGCAATGTAGACAGATAAGATGGTTCAGAAAGTTCATCAAAGATCCAGGATCCCTCTAGCTTTCTGCTTTTCTGTCCCTAAGGCCTGGCCCTCATGGCAGTTTAAGATGACTTCTGGTGCTCCAGCATTATGTCCCCATGAAATGAGGAAGGAAAAAGGAAAAAAATAAAGCTAGGTCTTTCCTTTTAACAATCTGTTCTGGAAGGTGCCTGCATCACTTATGCAGGTATTCCCTTGGCTGGAACTATGGGTGCTAGGAAATGCAGTCTGTTCTAGGGACCTTTTGGCTCAGCTAAAATCCAGAGGTTCTGTTATTGAAGAGAAAGGACATTGGGAAATACCTTAGTCTCTGCCACAGTTAGGTAGTGTGACAAGACATGCTGTGGGTAAGAACATAGCTGGGATCCAGGATCTTTCTGCAATGTGTAGTGTTCACCCCCGAGGAAAATCCACAATTCTAAAATGGGTTAGATGGGAGGGGGCTGCCTAGAATGGGTAGAAAGGTGGGTTAGAAACAAATGGTCTAGATCAGCCGTGGGCAAACTACGGCCCATTTGAAATGAATAAAACTAAAAAAAAAAAAAGACTGTACCCTTTTATGTAATGATGTTTACTTTGAATTTATATTAGTTCACACAAACACTCCATCCATGCTTTTGTTCCGGCCCTCCGGTCCAGTTTAAGAACCCATTGTGGCCCTCGAGTCAAAAAGTTTGCCCACCCCTGGATAGTAGAAAAAGGGAACAATCAAAGAAGGGACTTAATGAACTGAGTAAATGAGCTAAAAAAAGTCTACCAATGTTTATTTTTCTTGTCTTGTTTACATTAGTATTCCTGTTCTCAGTAACTGTGGGCATTTGGGGTTTTTACAGGTGGTTAAAGTTCACCAGAGTACTATATCTTCATATCTGGAAGACATAATACTGAACACTGAAGAGAATACTGCAGAAGAACAAGCCAGGGCGGAAATTGAGAAGAAGGCTAAGGAAATCAATGACATTGCTTATGAAATGGAAAGCCGGTATGTACCAAGAGAATGGATGGTAGAATAGATAGCCCACTTGCTGTTACTTACATGTACTTTTCAGGAGCTTAAGAGTTCACCACCAAGGAAACACAAATATGTAGCTCATGCTTCAGTGCCCATTGTTTTATTAGCATAACGCTTTAGAAGCTAACATGCCTATCCCTGTGCATGGTGGGAGCACTGGGAGTAGAAGTCTCTGCAGTCTGGTTCACTTTTACATTACTGACTTTAGAATACCTCAAAGCATGAAGGACATGTGAGTAAGTACATGCAACATTACTTGGAGTCCACCCCGAGGTGTGTGGCCCCATGTATAAATTGTATCTCTAACATTCCCTTCCTGGCTGGCAAAGTACATGAAGGGCGGGGCCAATCTGACTTTTCCATGGGGTTAACCAAGCTCACCAGGAATGTCATATTTCACTTAACCAAGGGAAAGGCGATGGTGGAGTTCCTTTACAAGTCAGGAGGATCCAAGTACAGCCACAAAGAAAGTTTAATTTGTTTATTTTTTAGTCGAACTCAGCTTCAGTCAGAGGAGATTGTTGCCGAGTTGGTTTATAGTTTCCTGATCCCAGAGGTGCAAAAGGACTTTGTCAAAGAAAAAGGTAAACCCATGCAAATGCGTCCCTGTATGATTTTTTTAAAAGATAAACTCTTTCAATATCCCAAAGATTTATTTATTTATTTATTTATTTTTTATTGATTAAGATATTACATATGTGTCCTTATCCCCACATTATCCCCTATCCCCCCCATTCATGCCCTCACCCCCCTGTTGTCTGTGTCCATTGGTTAGGCCTATATGCCTGCATATAAGTCCTTTGGTTGATCTCTCCCCCTTACCCCCACCCTCCCCTACCTTCCCTCTGAGGTTTGACAGTCTGATCG